GGGGGCGGTGGGTGGAGGGGGAAGGATGCCTGTCTTTGTTTAAATGCTTGACATTCCTGTCGTCGTGCTTGCTTATGGGGGTAGACCGCGTGTGCGCGCGCCTAGTGAATAAACACATGTTGGAAACCTCGATATTATTTTCTGAGCAGAAACCTGCAGCCTTTAGAAACTGGCAAAGTGTAGCGTCACCTATCTGGATAAAAGGGAAATAAACTTTAATGGTAACTTTGTGTACCAAAGTGTCCCCAGCTTTCCATCTCTCCTTTTGACTTTCTGCCACTTGATTGTCCCTATTTCTCCAAGCAAGGCGTCTACAATTTTCATTCACGACCACCGCAGCCGGCCTCATCAGATCTCAGGTCTGGTTGTTTTCTGAACTGAGCCATTTACTCATTTATTTCAGTGGCTGTAAACGAAGAGGCCCGGCTAGGATTAAGAGGATTGAGAGGGACTGGAAGTATTTGGGGAGAATTGTTACCATCTCAAAAGACAGAAAGGGCTGCTGCTGGGATTTGGTTAGACTTCAGTGCGCCTGACGTATCTATATGCATTTAAGGTCCTCCCCTTGAAGAAAAATTTCAAGCAGAAACAAACAAACAAAAAATCTGTCCAGTGTGGGTATTCTTTACGAGACCTGGGTGAGGAGGCAGAATGATTTAAACAAGACAAACACCAATAAAGTCAACGAGCAGATGCAGCGCGCGGTTGTTTGGGCGGGCGCAGGCACAGGAATGAGGAGGGAGAGGCGGCAGAGATTTCCAAGCTCTCACTACAGAGGATCGCAGAGGCGCGGAGGATGGAAATGTGCAAGTGTGTGTCAGGGAGCTGGCGAGTATTTTCCAGTCTGTGGAAGCAGCATCACTCCGGGGGTGGTGGCTCCTCCTCCGAGGCCAGGGCAGGGAACCCGGCCTTCCCGCTAACCCTCCCGCGGCTAGCACCCGAGCCTCTCAGCTCTGTATCTGCAGCATCAGCGAGAAAAGCCCCGCGCGCAGGCTCAGTGCGCACCGCCGCAGTCTCGAGCCGGGGGCGGGGCGGGGGAGGGGGCGGGAGTGGGCTCCGCAGCGCCTCCGCGCTGGCTAAGTGGCAGTAAAGCCAAATCCCTCTTGCATTTGGCAAGAACTCGGATTTATCGGAACGCCTGCCTCACTCCAAACCTTCGACCCTGGTTCCCCTTTTTCCCAGGTTCGAAGCAAATGGGAGAAGCCGTCTCCACTCCGCGGCCTTGCGCCGTGCATTCGGGTGCGCGGCAATATGGTGCAGTGCACTCACTCCCCTCACCGCCTTACTAAGATTTTGCAAACTTCAGGCAGCCGCGTAGGCAGAAACATTGTGCACTCCCGCTTCCCTCTCCAGACCATAAACTTGAATAAGCCTCTCCGCATCTTCAAAGCATTTGCCAGCGGCTCTGGCGCGCACTCTGCAGGACCACACTTGAGGGGGCCGCGAAGGAGTGGGCGGCTTTTCCTCAGCGCGCTGCGCATTTCTTCCCGGATGACTAGGGAGTTGCAGCGCGTCCTTCACAGTGGAGTGGTTTCCTCTTTGCGAGCGGGAGGAAGTCTCCAGCCCGCCCTCCTCACTCTCATTCCTACCAACTTCGCGGCGGAGCCAAGCCAGCGTGGGAAATGGGTCCGACGTGTGCTGCATGGAGAACAGCGAGGACAGACTGCGGGGGCCAAGAAGCCTGCTGGCTTTGCTCCCACCCCCATCAGTCCCAGGCTCCGACCTTTCTGCCAGAAGAGCAAAGAAGTGGCGGCGGCTTTGCCCTGCAGCGCTGTTCTGGGCAAGCAAAGGAAATGGGCGGGGTAGGGGTACGGGGGACGTGAGAGGAGCCCTCGGGGCGCCCTTGCGGCGGCTGGAGCTCCCAGTCCTCTTCCGCCCCCTGTCTATGGACTGACTCTTCTCTCGCCGGCGCAGAGGATGAATGGAAGAGAGAAGTTGTTTCCCCCACCCCCGCCCCATTTCCGCAGTCTTAGAGCCAGTGTCACAAGTGCTCAGCAATTTCATTAAATGGAACCAGGAGACTTAATCCCCCCTTGTACCAGACCTCACCGAGGGAATGTGATATCCGGCTTCGCTCCCACCCACCAACCCCGCCCGGCTTCTCAGTCCCCAGGCTGCGTTTATCTTCTCAACCTGAGAGGAAAGGGTTCAGAAGGAAATGGGATCGAAAGTGTAACCGGCTGCAAGAAATTAAAGGGCCGGCTGCTGCTACTGCTGGTGCTGCTGGTGCTGCTGCTTTGGCGGCCAGAACTGGAGAGAGAAAATGAGATTAGTGTCCTAAAGCTTTCATTGATCAGAGTGGTTAGACGTCATCGTATGTAGGAAGCAAAATGTTTGAGGGAATGTTGAAATGGAGATTTGGTTTTTTCTTTAGTGGCTTTTAAAAAAAGAACAGTAAAAGGAAATATCCCTTTGAAACCAAGATGTAAAAAATGAAATTGATTAAAATATAAATATCATCCCGTTTTAATATGCATTCAATAACATTCATTTTCTATGCCAAATATCTTACCCTAAACTTAAAATATTCAGTTTTTTGTTTTTTGTTTTTTGTTTTTTACCTACTAACCTCGCTTGCTTAAACCTGTTTTGCCGT